CCGCAGAAGCTCATGTACTCGCTCTACCTGGTGGCCAGCCTCTGCAGCAACAAAGAGGCCAAGGTACGGCGCCTGGCTCGCTCACGCCGACTCGGGGTGGCAGCAGCAGCAGTCGACGGCGAGGAGAGGAGGTGGCGAGCGTCTTCGCCGTGCTGGGGCGTGGTGGTGCGCGTGCGCGTAGGCGGCGTGCGGTGCGTCCATGTTTTCCGTTTGTGGGGGTGGTCAGCCGGTGCATTGTTAGACGTGAACCGAGAATGATGGCGAATAGGTGCATTGCTGATCGGGGTTGGCACTGCTGGGAAATAGTCAGTAGCCCTTGGTGTGCCTGATAAATGCTGTCTCATGTCGAGCTGGGCGGCGTTCAATCTCGACTTTTCACTGAGAGTGTTGCGTTTTGGTTCGTGAAGTAGATCTCGCAAGTCTGTAGTGGTTTTGTACCAAGTTGCATACACGCGCAGCAAGCCCATGCCACCAAACTCGAGACAGTTTGTCCCTTCCCGCCATGCATAGCGTTCTCGTGCATAAGGCGGTGCGGCGATGTGCCGATACGTCCGTGGGCGTGACGGCCCGGTGTCGGTGTCGCGCGCAGGAGGAGGCTGACTCGGATCGGGTGCAGCAGAAGCAGGAGTGGCGCCAGAAGTTCATCGAGTGCGGCGGTCTGCGACATCTGTACGACATCTTCATGTCCGGTGGGTGGGGCGCACTGCCGGGCGGCGCTCAGACGGACGGGCGGGGTGGCTCAGACGTGCGTGTGGAGTGAGCGGGACAGGAAGTGGACGGACCGGTGCTCTTTTACACCTCGTGCTGTACGGTTGTAGTGTGGCGAAACGGCGCGCTCTGTAAGGCGCCGTGTGCCTACACTTCTGCATGTGGGACACGGCGCGTATGTATGGACGCATGCACCATACTACGTACAGCAGGGCAGCGAAATGATCGCAAGCGTATTGCCCGAGCTGCCGACCCTGTGAGTGTCGGAGTGTCGGTCTTGTGGCCGCGTGAGACCCGAGCGCGGCTCGGCCGTGCCCCCGTCCGGATGGGCGCCGGCTGACCGGCCGGCGGTGGCGCCGCCCCGCGCAGGTGTGCTGCAGCTGCGCGAGGCTGACCACTGGGACGAGTGGCGCCAGGACTGCCTGGCCTGCCTGCTGCAGCTGCTCATACAGATCTCGGTGGTGGGCTCGGAGGAGGGCGCGCCGCCGCCGCCGCCGCCGGCCGCCTCCTCCTCCGCCCTGCCGCCGCCCGAGCACGCCAAGAAGAGGGCCAAGCGACAGCGCAAGTGGGACAAGTTCGCCGTGCTGAAGCTCAGCCCGGTACGGTGCTGCTCCCCCCCCCCCCCCCTCTCCCAGCCGCGGGCAATACGTCAGCTATCACGTGACGTCACGTTCACTGAGGAACGTCAGCGGCGGATGTGCCGTAAATTCAAGCAAACAGGGGTCAGTACGTCGAGTGTCTCGGCTTACTCTCAGGACGACGTAAGACGCATTTGCCGTGGCCGATGCAGTATGGTGAAATACATGACATGAGTTCTGAGTGTCCGCAGTATAGTTCCTCAGTATGTCCAGGTTGTCCAGGTTCCTCAGTATGTCCAGTATAGTTCCTCAGTATGCATGCGATCGTATTTAGTGTCAGGATGCCAGGCAAAAAAGAACTGTGAAAGTCTAAAACGATCTTGTTTCCCCTCCTTGCTGACGTTCGTTGTGGGCTGCGGAGTCGTGCCTGTTAACATGCCGCGCGCCGGTGGGTGACGCCGCCTCCTCGGGCGCTGTGGCCAGGCGGTGCTGGAGCTGATGGAGCTGGAGGCGGTGGCGGCGCGGCTCACCAGCGTGCTGTACGACGCCTCGCTACCCCGCGACCCGAACCACTACAAGACCGGCTTCTGGGGCCGCGCGCAGGTCAGCGCCGGCTTCTGGGGCGTCGCGCCAGGCGCACGCGGCGGTCGCGGGCGTCGCTGTACTCGCGCTCGCCGTCATCCGGCTGGAACTGGCGCTGGACTCTGACGTCTGTTGTCTGATGTAGAGCCTGTCGTCGGATTGGTGTGACTCTCCATGCTCCTCTGAGTCGGGGATCTCAGATCAGGGTCACGATTGCAGCTCGCGGTCAAATATGACGTTGCATGACTCAAACCATCGTAGCAGACTGCTGTCTGTTAGGCGCGACCCCGTCGCCCCTCGCTCCCTTTCCTGTTCCCGGCCGACGCCGCTGGAATCTGGTCCGGCAATTGAGGGTGCCCTAATCAAGGCGAACACCGGCTGGTCTCCCGGCCGGACCCGGGCCTGGCTGGCGCCGCTAGAGCCTGGTCCGGCAGTTGAGGATGCCCTTATCTGGGGGGGGGGGGGGGGGGGGGGCACCGGCTGGTCTCCCGGCCGGGTCCGGGCTGGAGCCCAATAACTGGCTCGTGCCCCTCCAGAAGGATTGGGCCGAGTGGCGCAGTGGGGAGGTGAGGACTAAGTGGCTGATGTGATCGGGCGTGAGGCCTTGGATCGAGAGGTCCAGGTTCGATTCGCCTAAGGCGACGCTAAACCTCCCCGGTCCACTGGAGGTGGGGGTGCTAATAGCATCATCGGCCCATGCGCCTAAGATAACCCACCAGGGACGTCGCAGCTAACCCACCAGGGGGTCACAACTAACCCACCAGGGGGTCACAACTAACCCACCAGGGGCGTCAGAGGAAGGATCGGTGACGGCGGCCGATCTGTGGTGATCTGTGGTGTGGTGACCTGTGGTGACCGTGTCTGGGCCGCCGCAGGTGGTGCACTACGCCATGAGTCTGCTGGTGTCGCTCTGCTTCTCGGCGCCGGAGGCGGCCGACGCGCTGTACCGCTGCCAGCGCTACCCGGAATGGCTGCGGCGCCTCCTGCTCGACGACCCGGAGCCGGAGACGCGCCGGGAGCTGGCCGCCGGTCTGGACAGGTGAGCTGGGACGCTGGTCCAGCCGGACAGGTGAGGTGGGGATCCGCGCTGGCCGGGGTGACGGTTCCGGGCCCGCCAATGGGTAGCACGCGGCGCGCGCGGGGTGTGGAGCTGCGAGCAGTGGACGCTCCGGAACCGAGGGGTCGTGGTGCGGTAAGGCCCACGCCACTGCATAGTGCTAGCTTAATGTGCTGTAGGCACTTGCCCGTGGCTGGCCAGAGGTGGGTCGGGCGTGGAGACAAACTGTCGTCCGTGTTCGGGCGTTCGGTCGTGCTGCGCCAGCAGCCAGGTCTCCTCGCCGCGCTTGCTTCTGTACGAACTGTGTAATGTTATAGCCCGACTCGAACCCTGCCCAAGCCGGGATACTGCTGACCTCCAGCGACCCCCCACCCTGACCGCGACTCCCTCCCCGCCGCCGCCGCCGCAGGCTGTGTCTGGGTCACGCGGACGGCGGTCAGACGGGCGACCAGTTCGTCGTGCCCGTCCTCAGCGAGCTGCTCAAGTTCATCCCGTCGGCGGCCAGCATGCGGCCCTCCAACATGGAGGTGAGTGGGGTCTCGCGCCCGGCCGACCGCGCCATCGGCCACACGTGCCGCCCCCGATGGTGGGGCCGATTTGCGGGGAAGCGGGCTTGCGATTTGTTGCGCTGGAGGCGGAGGGCGGTCGGTGCGCTGGTCACCCACGCGCCGGTCTGTGCCATGCTCGGGTTGTCGGGTTGTACGTTTCCAAGGCTTTCGGCCGCGGGGCGTGGCGCTCGTTGCCCGTTACGACGGTTCTTCGCTAACGGAACGTGGCCGTCTGTCACGCTTCTGGTGTAACGAAGAAAAGGGTGTTCACGTCTACAACCCTTCTTGCCACCCACCTGGCCTGCTATCCCGGGAGGGCACGGCAGTCTCGTGCGTCCGCAATGGACCGACGCCACTCCTGCCGGCGCCCTCGTGTCTGCGTTGGACGGCACACCCACCCAGACGGCGTCTGCGTGTCGGCATGTCAGCACCGTTCCCACTGCTGCCGCCAGTTCGTGTCGGGCGGCGGCGACGAGCCGGCCAAGGAACCTTACGGCCCCTCCTGCCGCGAGTACTTCGGCCTGACGTGCCGGCTGCTGGAGAGTCTGGACGAGGCGGACGCGGCCGAGCTGCGGCTCGTCCAGCTGGCCGAGCAGTGCGCGCGCAGCGTGCGCGAGCGCGACCTGCTGGAGCGGCGCCACCAGACGGCGCCCGACGACGGCCTGGTGGGCCTGCTCAAGCTGTCGGCGGCGCTCGCCCGCCAGGCGGCCGCCTTCAAGGCCAGCCCGGCCGCCACCGAGCTCGTGCATCAGGTGAGGGCCGGGAGGTGAAAGGCGGCGTGGAAGAGGAGGAGGACGGGCTGGGAGAGGGGCGGGCGGCGTCGGGTTCAGCGCGGGGTGTGAGACCACGGGAATTGGTGGCGTTGGGTTGGTGCCGCGATCCGGACCGCCGGAAGTTTTGGTGATTTGTGGGGTTGCGGAACATTATGCATGGTGTGGGTCGTGGATGATGGCCATGTCGCAGCGCTTGCCAACAAAGCACGGTGGTGCGGGGATTGCCCACCATTGTCGGTGATCCCGGCGTTCCCTTGCGCAAGCGTCCAGCAAGCCACAGTTCGAACAGATGAGCGCCCTTCGAGCGCACTGTGCCTGCAGTGTGTGCACGGAGCGCCGGGCCGCCGGGCGCCGTCCCCGCGAACCTTCTGACCGTCGCCCGCCGCCCTGTCCGCCAGCTGTTCGACGCGCTGTTCGCACTGCCGACGCCCAAGGAGCGCCTGCTGCCGTGCTGCAAGTCGGTGCACTCGCGCTCGGCCTGCTACGACCTGCTGGTGGAGCTGACCGGCGGCTGCGAGCCCAGCTTCGACGCGCTGCTGGGCCGGCTGCTGGAGCAGACGGCGCCCAGCCGCCAGTCGCCTTACCCGTGGGACTACTGGCCGCACGAGGACGGCCGCTCCGACTGCGGCTACGTCGGCCTCACCAACCTCGGCGCCACCTGCTACATGGCCTCCTGCATGCAGGTCGGTGCCGGCCGCGGCGGGCGACGCGCGGCGTCAGCCACGCGGCTGCTGCTGACCGCTGTGCGCGTCCCACCTGGCTGGGCCGTGCCAGGCGCAGCGGCGGGCCGGGCGCGGCCGACTGGCCGCTGTGAGGGCCGCGGTGGCACGCGCCGCGCCTGGCGCCGCGCAGCGTGTGGTGCGAGCGATGGGACGAGTGGCGGATGGGGACCTCGCGGTGCCCGGCGGGAGCGGTGAACGCCAGGGCTGCTGTGTTTCGTTCCGTCTGTTGACGAGCGCCCGCGCCGACTGTGTTTTCCTGGAGCGAGGCGACGCCGCCAGCGTCTCGGCCGCGCCCCGCCCCAGCCATCTGGCTCACCTGTGGCGTCGGCCAGCCAGTGCTGACGGCGTCCGTCTGTGCCCGCAGCACCTGTACATGATGCCGCAGGCGCGCGCCAGCATCCTGCAGGCGCCCGTCGACAACAAATGCGAGCACGGCATGACGCTGCGCGAGCTGCAGCGCATGTTCGCCTACCTGATGGTGCGTGCTGTCGATGTTGGTGCCCCACGGCGCGGTGTGGCGGTCGACGATGACGGGCGACGGTGGGAATGTGTTCGGACCGGGCTGAGGGGCCCGCTTCGGTCTTGCTGCTGGAGGGGAAGGGAGGGGGGGGGGGGGGGGGGCTCCGAGCACGGTAGGCAAGCGGTGAGTGTGGCCCGTGGCGACTCCCTCGCTGGGGCGCGACCGGCGGCGCCATCCTCGGGTAGCCTGGCGGCTCAGGCGGCGGTCTTCGAACGATGTGTGCTCAGCCTTCGGGCGTCCGCTGGTCCGCCCCGACTGTGCAGTGATGGGACGCGGCGGCCGGCCGGCGGTCCGCGGCCAGCCGTCCGCTTCCCGCCTGCCCCCCCCCCCCCCCCTCCCCCCGCTGCTTGCTGTGGCAGGCGGCGCGCCGTTAGCCCGGCCGGAGCACTGACGCCGCTCGCTCCGCCGTCAGGAGAGCGAGCGCAAGGCCTACAACCCGCGCAGCTTCTGCAAGGTGTACACCATGGACCACCGGCCGCTCAACACGGGCGAGCAGAAGGACATGGCCGAGTTCTTCATCGACCTCGTCTCCAAGCTGGAGGAGATGACGCCCGAGCTGAAGCGGCTCGTCAAGCAGCTCTTCTGTGGCCAGATCACCAACAACGTCGTGTCGCTGGTCAGTGAGCGGGCAGAGGGCGGGCGAGCCGGCGTGTTGGAGCCCGGCGGCGACCGTCTTCGCCTGGCTGCGGCTCGCAGCCGACGAACGGCGTTGTTAAAGGCGAGAGTCGGATAGGTGTGTCGGATTATTGTCTTCAAAGGGTGTGACCAAGTATATTTTGCACCCAGATGTCAGATTTTTACGAAGACTTTATCTGCCGTCCAAAGGCAAAAAGGCTAAAGTGCTTCGTTAAGTAATGGCTCTCAGGCCTTTTTACCTTTGGGCATTAGATATGACGATGCGTATAAAATCAGCTCTTTAAATTGAAACCTTCTGTGGAAACCTACAGCGGTTTGACAGCTAAGGGCCTGGCGGCTGTCTCTCCACCAGGGGTTTTGTCATGTAGTGCTCTGCACCGCGACATCCTACGTGTAACGTGATGGCCGCCTATCCTGACTTGCCCGTCCTCTCCCTGTATCGGTGTATGTCTTGTCAGATATGCCCCCCCCCCCCCCCGCTGACTGAAAGTGGCCCCAGATATTTATACGCCTTAAAATCCCAGCCACCATGCCCCCTAATAACATGCCCCACCCCCACCCACCCACTCTCACATGCCCTCCATGCGCCGCGCCTCCATTCACCCCGTGTCTGACGCGTGCCCCGTGCGCGCTGGCCGGCAGGACTGCGCGCACGTGAGCCGCACGTGCGAGGAGTTCTACACGGTGCGCTGCCAGGTGGCCGACATGCGCAACTTGTACGAGTCGCTGGACGAGGTGACCGTCAAGGACACGCTGGACGGCGACAACATGTACACGTGCTCGCAGTGTCAGAAGAAGGTCCGCGCCGAGAAGCGGTCAGTGGCCGGAGGGCGTCGGTCGGACGGCCGGCCGGCTGGCTGGTGTACCGCGCGTGACGGGAGTCGAGGGCCCGGTTTGGGTCAGGCGGAGGGTTGGCAGTGGCGTTGACGTTGTGGGCACGGGTGAGAATGGCCGGTATAAAAATAGTCATGGGCTGCAGCTCGGCGTATTCGTGCTGTTCACTACCGGAGGCGTGTCAGGTGGGAAGTAATGGAGGATTGTCATGATAAGTGATTCACGATTCATCATCGCAGCGTGACCTCCCAGGTGATTCAGGGAGGCCACCGCTTTGCCACCAACGGTAGCATTGCTGGGACATCCAGTTCGTCATTCTCACAGAGACAAAGCGTCCACCTTGGCACGTGCTGCCCGAAGAGCGCTGTTGGACTGCGGTAGGGGAATGCACCGTGAGGCTGTGTCCTCGAACCGTCTTCATCGTGCATCATGCCGGCTGACCTCACCTCGATGCGGATTTCAGCGCGAGTGTCTTCAAGCGCCTGCCGCCACATTTCCATGTGCTTCAACACGATGCGCTACCACGTTCAACATGCACGGATTGATGCGCGAGAAGGTGAACACGCTTGTTCTCCTTCCCGCTACATCCTGGACATGTCCGAGGCTATAGGGGCGCGGCAACCTGATTGCCACCAAATGCGAGACGGGTGCGGGCGCGGTTAGCGCTCGAAGGGGAAGGGATAAGGGCCTGTGTGCAAGCAGGGCGGTCTGGTATGCGGCAGGGGACCCTTGTGTGCGCAGGGGGCCTGGTGTTGCGGAGGGGGGGGGCCTGGTGTGACAGCAGGGAGGCCTGTTTGTAAAATCAGGGAGGCCTGGTGTGCAGCAGGAGTGCCTGGTGCGCACCAGGGAGGTCTGGTGTGCAGCAGAGGCCTGGTGTGCAGCAGGGAGGTCCGGTGTGCAGCCGAGAGGACTGGTGTGCAGCAGGAATGTCTGGTGTGCGGCAAGAAGGTCTGGTGTGCAGCGGGGAGGCCTCGTGGGCAGCGGGGAGGCCGGTGTGCAGCAGGGAGGCCTGGCACGCAGCGGGGAGGCCTCGTGGGCAGCGGGGAGGCCTCGTGTGCAGCAGGAGTGCCTGGTGTGCAGGAGAGGGGCCTGGTGTGCAGCAGGAAGATGGACTGCAGCCACGGTCACACGCATGTTCATGCACGTATTGATGTAGCTATTCGCTTGCATGTGCACCGAAACTGAAACGAGAGACGCTGGTCCGGTCGGGTCTGGAAGTGACTGTTTACAGGGTATTGGACTCCGAACAGGGTCCATGACGTCCACTCTTTGAGAAGTTGTATTCGTCGACCGCTTGCCACGTGCCTCGAGGCCGAACCTATTCCTCGGCTTCGAGCTTGTGTGGGAGGCACGAAGGCACGCGTCGGCAAGGCTGCAGCGGAGGAGGCCACGTGGGGCTGGCGCCGACACCTGACACCGCGGCGTGTCACGCGGCCTCGCTAGCAGAACTTCCGTGTCAGATAGCTGTCGCATCGCGTGGCACACGCCTGACACGCTGCCGGCTGGCACACCGTCCGCACGGCGCGCGTCACCCGCTGATGTGACACAACGAACACTGGCACAGCACACTAACACTGACACACACGCCGACAGAACGCGTCGACGCAACACACTAGCATTGCCGCAACTGACGCTGACACTGTGACACAGCACAGCTGCTGTGTCGTGACAGCTGTGGGCCGGCGCGCAGGCGAGGCGACGTTAACACGACTGACACGGACACTGACACAACGCAGCTGCTGTGCCGTGACAGCTGTGCGCCGGCGCGCAGGCGAGGCGACGTTAACACGACTGACACGGACACTGTGACACAACGCAGCTGCTGTGCCGTGACAGCTGTGCGCCGGCGCGCAGGCGAGGCGACGTTGACACGACTGACACGGACACTGTGACACGACACAGCTGCTGTGTCGTGACAGCTGTGGGCCGGTGCGCAGGCGAGGCGGACGCGGAGCTGGCGCCGTGCCAGTACGACCTGATTGGCGTAACCGTGCACACCGGCACGGCGGACGGCGGCCACTACTACTCCTTCATCCGCGACCGCACCAGCGCGTCGCGCAACAGCTGGCTCTTCTTCAATGACGCCGAGGTCAAGCCGTTCGACCCGAGTCAGCTGGCCGGCGAGTGCTTCGGCGGCGAGATGACGGTACGGCTGGCGGTCCGCGCGCGAGGAGACAAGGAGGGGGGCTCCGGCGGCGAGATGGCGGTACGGCTGGCGACCGGCGCGTGGGAAGACAGGGGGGGGGGGGCTCCGGCGGCGAGATGGCGGTACGGCTGGCGACCGGCGCGTGGGGATACAGGGGGGGGGGGGGGGCTCCGGCGGCGAGATGGCGGTACGGCTGGCGACCGGCGCGTGGGGAGACAGGGGGGGGGGGGGGGCTCCGTTTGGTGTCAGGTCTAGGGCAAGCCGAGATCTGGGCGGAGAGGTGGAGCAGCAAGGGACAGCGGCGTCCTCCGTTTGGGGGGGGGGGGGGGGCAGCTCCCTCCGCAAGGGACAGCGGCCCTCTGGTCTGCTTCAGCGGCTGAACCGGGTCGGTCTTGTGTTTCATGGTTAAATATGTGGTAGTGTATGCTGTGGCTGCCTTTCTGGAATTTCGTGCGCGATAAATCATATGTTGTGTGGTATATCTGAAGGCCTCACACTGAAAATGTATTCGTATTCATCCACCACGTGGGTATTCCCTGTTGCGAAATTGTGACGATTCCGCGACATTCGTGCCATGCAGCAGGCCTCCATGCGTGCTCGCGTGATTTCAGAGCAAAACGTACGACTCGATCACGGATAAGTTCCTGGACTTCAGCTTTGAGAAGACCAACTCAGCGTACATGCTGTTCTACGAGCGGTGCGTGGAGGCGCCCGAACAGGGCGGGTCCAAGGTGCGTACCGCGAACTTTGCATAACGGTGTATGAAGCCGCACTCACCGAATATTTCTGAGACGAACTTGATAAAGGGGGATTTGTATGTCCGAGAAAATGTATGGGAAGCACCAGGCTGGAGGGGCTGCCGTGAAGGCTGTCTGCCAGTGAGACCAGCGCTGGCCCCGTGGCCGGTCCAACCGGCCTCCCCCTGCGCCGGGACCTGAGCAGCCCGCTGTTGCCAGAGTCAGCCGGGGGCCTGCGACCCGGGCCGGTCGACCTGTGACCCGCGAGCCCCCGAGGTGCCGCCGTAGTCACCTGACGACGCGCCCTGCCCAGCAGCCGGTGACGGCGGACGCGGCCGACCTGGCCCGCCCGCACCTCAGCCCGCTGGACCTGCCCACGTTCGAGCTCAGCGCCGAGCTGGAGGACTGGATCTGGAAGGACAACATGGAGTTTCTCAGGGACAAGAGTATGTTCGACCACACGTTCTTCAAGTAAGATGGAAGAGGCCCAGTTTGTTGAGGTTCGATTGGTGTCTGGGTATCTGAATGGAAATAGGCTGCGAAGAATGAAGCAATGGAGCTGCGTGAGCTCCAAGGCATATGTAATGGCACAATTAAGCTGTGAACTCCAAGACATATGTATATATGCCACCATAAAGATTATCCTTACGTTTCCAACAATTTGCCATGCAAACGGTAAATCTGGGGTAGCGACGCTCTTGCTCGTTGGAAACGTTTGTGCTGTTCGTCCCCATTTTTCCGTCATGATGTGCTATTTTGGGCCATTAGGAAGCCAGAGCAACGCCGTGACCCCTGCGGACTTTCGCATTGACTCCCACCGTACAGCAGCTGTGCTAACACCGGCATTTCTCACAAAAGCGCGGCACTTCTGCGTCGCGCCGGGAAACCCTGCTGACCCGGCGGATCGTTCCTGACGCGGCCGCTGCTGTCGCTCCTGCTGACGCGGCCGCTCCTGTCGCTCCTGCTGACCCGGCCGCTCCTGTCGCTCCTGCTGACCCGGCCGCTCCTGTCGCTCCTGCTGACCCAGTCGCTCCTGTCGCTCCTGCTGACGCAGCCCCTGTCGCTCCTGCTGACGCGGCCGCTCCTGCCGCTCCTGCCGACCCGGCCGCTCCTGTCGCTCCTGCTGACGCGGCCGCTCCTGTCGCCCCTGCTGACGCGATCGCTCCTGCTGACCCGGCCGCTCCTGTCGCTCCTGCTGACGCGATCGCTCCTGTCGCTCCGCAGCTTCATGTGGCAGGTGTGCGGCTACATCCCGCAGACGCTCAGTCGCACCGAGGCGGTGACGCTGCGTGCCGCCCGGCTCTCCACCACGTTTTTCCTCGAGATCTTCATCCACGCCAAGGAGAAGCCCACCATGGTGCAGTGGGTAGAGCTGCTCACCAAACAGTTCAACGCCTCGCAGGTAGTCAACGTGTTCTCACTTACTCTGCTCAGTGGGCATGTCATTCTGCAGCGTAACGCTGGGATGCTGCGTTTGCAGGATGTTGGTCTGATCAGAGGCCACGAAATAAGCATTTCGACGCCTTCTGCTGATGCCTGTGATCCTGTTTTGTCAAAGTGCGTATAATTCGCTAGTACACCGGATATTTTTGATGCACATTTGCTGTCATCGCGTCACATAAGGCATCGCACGCGCCGACACGTCAACCTGGCTGCACCGCCGTGTGGTTCCCACTGAGCGCGTCGGAGCGGCGGAGGTGACTCTGCCCCGGGCCGACAGGCGGCGTGCGAGTGGTTCCTGGATCACATGGCCACGGACGAGTGGTGGCCCATCCAGATCCTGATCAAGTGCCCCAACCAGATGGTGCGTCAGATGTTTCAGCGACTCTGCATCCACGTGGTGCAGAAGCTCAGGTACGTCTCGCTCGGCGGTCGGGGTTATGTGCAGCTACTGCGCGGGGCGGCGCTCAGCGCTTTCCCGGTAGCGCCGGTGCGGGGCCTGGTTGAGCCGGATTGAGCAGGGGCTGGTCGGCAGAGGCTCTGTCGGTGTCGGCGGTCTTGGCAGCTGTCGCTGTCAGCAACTGTGGCAGCTGTTATGGCTGACACCAGTGCAAGGACGGGTAGTGATGTCAGCGACTGTGAGCAGCTGTTGTGGCTGACACCAATGCAAGGACGGGTGGCGATATCAGCAGCTGTTGTAGCAGCTGTTGTGACTAACAATAGGACAAGGATGGGTGGCGATGCCAGCGACTGTGTTGGTTGCGTCGGCGCTGACACCTATACCCCACCCCTCCTATCCTGAAGGGTCTGCGGTGTACATGTCGTACCGTGCCGTTCAGATGCGTCACGTTCTCTCAGACACGAGGAGACAGCGCCTGAATCCTGCAGGCCTGCGTGCCTGTCCCGCCCCTCCCCGCCCCGCCCCGCCCCGTTGTCTGACCGCGGGTCGTACCCGCAGGCCGGTGCACAGCTGCCGGTACCTGCAGCCGGCCGAGGGCGAGGCGCGGCCGCGCGAGCTCGGACAATCCTCCTGCGTCACCCGCTTCGTGCGCAAGCTCGTCTCGCTGGTCAGTGGTCGCCGCACTGGCCTTGGCGCCGCCGGAGGCGCCGGCGATAGCGTCCCTGCCAGCGATGGGACGTCGTGTTGCGACGCTGTACTGACTGCTGAGTTCGAGTGTACTTACTCTTGCTCTCGCTTCTTTGCCGTCTGACCGATTACTGTGATTGCTCTCGCTTCTTTGCCGTCTAACCGATTGCTGTGAGCTCGACGATGTTATTGATGTTACTTGATATTGATATTCTTGTTGCCGTGGGTGACCATTACAGCAGGTATGTGCCTCGTTGCCGTTGTTTTGGTATACATCAGCATTTGCGACCGTGACGTGTTCACTCAAGTCCCCAGGATGGGCCCTGAGTAGGATATCAAGATCACAGTGCCAGTGTTTTGCACTGTTTCGCAGATGGAGCACGGCGCCAAGTCGCATCTTCGCAACCTCACCGAATACTTCGCGTTCCTCTTCGAGTTCGGCAAGATGGGCGACACGGAGATCAAGTTCCTGCTGGCCACCGAATGCATTACCACCATGGTCAACTTTTACCTGAGTCAAATACCGGAAAACGTGAGCTGCGAACGGCGTCGGATGTTTTGTTTCGCATTTTCGGCTGAAAATGAAATGCGTGGTTTGGAGGTGTATCGGATAGAAATTGTTCATATGCTGACATCTCTTTGTCTCACTTGATGATGATTGGAGTTTTAGGGCGCACCGACTTCCGGTCTTTTTGCGCCCATCTCTGTCTTACGAAAAATTTGGCACCAATATTAGTTTCACGGTTTCAATCCACCAGTGTTTTACGGTCGTACATAAAACGTGCCATGGATTTCGTTGAACTCATTTTTAATGTGTTACGCGATTAAGGTAATGACGTGGTTATATTAAATGCATGCATGCGTGCATGCATGCTTGCTTGATTGTACCATCGTATAATGGGTGTCATATTGGAAGCAGTGCGTTCTGTACTGGAGAGGCCTGTACGGAGTGGTGGTGTTCCCCTTTCCCGGCTAGGTTCGTCGGCAGTGTCTATCATGGCCGCTATCTCCCATCCGCGCCAGTGGGAATCGAACGTCAACACCGCGCTTCCCAATGCTTTTATCTGTCCGTGCCGGCGTGTCCTGCCGCGGTAGCCGACCCGAGTCGACGTGCGAAGCTAGTGGCGTCAACGCCCCCGCACGCTCACCGTCCTTCAGTCGGACCTAAGCGACGCGGCCGGGATACAGCCACGCCCCGGGTACTCGGCACCTCTCTGGGGCCGAGCTGGGCGCGTGGCCGTGTGCGCCTGCGCGGCCGGCGCCCGCCCGCGCGCTGCCGGGACCGACTCGCGCTCCGTCCGTGCAGCAGGCGGACGAGGTGTCGGACGAGGACGACGAGGAGGGCGAGGCCGGTCCCGTCCGGCCGGCCGACAAGTTCCGGCCGGCCAGCCTCGAGAAGATGATCAGCCTGGTGGCGCTGCTGGTGGAGAAGTCGCGCGCCGACGACCAGCGGCTGGCGCTCTCCGCCTCGGACCTGGCAGCCGTGGCCGGTGCGTCAGCAGCCGGCCAGCGCCGCAATGTCCTGCGGAGATGGCGGGTGTTGTCTAGTGGTGCTCGCCGCCGCTGGAGGCCCATGCTTTCCGTCATATCTAGCGGCTGGCGGCGCATCTTCAGAAAGTGATTTTGTCTGTTCGACTGGCTGAAACACTTTGCTTTATAGTTAAGACACGGTGTGATGACGATGCGATTACTCTACGCTGGGTTCGGGGTGAACGAAAATCGCCGAAGTGTTCTTCCTCCACGCGTCGTTACTTTGCCATGTCATACCCATCACCGGCCCACGCCCGCTGCCAACACGTGTCTTGTTTCCCGTCTCCGGCCAGCCAGGTCGCTTCGTCTCTAGATGGGATTGTAATCTAGCATTGGTGGAATTCAGTGGCACAAGATAATCAAGCTGCCAACATCGTCCCATAAGACCAGCGGGGTCGGTCTCCCTGACCACCCACCCGCACTCGCTTACCACCGAACAGTTCTCACTCGCCGAGCGGGGGGCGAGACGGGCGGGCCGGGCTGTCCTGGAGTGCGAATCCCCGGTTAACTGACGCACCTCCGCCGGCAGGTGGCAAGGGCTTTCCATTCCTGTACCACCAGATCAAGGACGGCCTGAACGTGCGCGCCACGTGCGGCCTGGTGTCGGCGCTGTGCCGCTGGAACGAGCGGCTGGCTGTGCTCGTGGTCGGCATGATCTTCCAGGCTGTCATCAAACACCAGGAGGTGGGCGGCGGCCGGCGGGGCGCCACCCACACGGCGGTCCGCCGGGGAAGGGGGGGGGGGGGGGGCGGCGACGCACGCGGGGCAGGGCGGAGCGGCGTTGTGAGGGGAGAGTTGCTGCTGGGGTGTTTGTTGGTTCTTTATCGTTTGGTGGTGATCGGGGGCTGTCATTGTAAGCGAACTTTGACGGAGTCGAGACGTTCTTGTGATGCTGTCCTTGCGCGGCCATCAAACGTTTGCCGAGCTGCTATGCATGTGGCGAAACTTTTTTGGCAAAAATTTCATGTCCATGATGGTGAATCCAACGAATGGTTGTGACGATAGCTGCTGTCCATCCTCACTTGTTCCGGGCTTTGGCTCGTTTCGGCCTGTTGTGTTCAGTCTCCCATCCCACCAGTGAGCTTGTGACTTTGATCATCTCAAAACTGACCTTTAGTAACACGAGATTACCTGAGGTCAGCCAAAGCGATCCGTGCTCCGGGCCTGCCGCGAAGGCTGCTGGCCTGGCCTGACCTGACCTGACCTGACCTGACCTGACCTGACCTGACCTGACTCTCCCTGTGGCAGGCGTGCCAGCCGTTCTTCCGGCTCCTCTCGCTACTGGTGGAGGGCGACGGCGCCGGCGGCGGTGCGGCCGGCGCCGGCGGCACCGGCACTGGCGGCACCGGCGGCGGCGGCGGCGGCGGCCTGCCCTGCTTCACCCAGCTGGCGCTGCAGCACATCTGGGAGGTGGCCGAGTTCTGCCCGCAGGCGGTGCTCGAGTGGCTGGCCGGCCAGGTGCCGCGCAACAAGCTGGCTCACTCGTGGGTGCTGCAGAACCTGGACAACTGGTGCGAACATTTCCTGCTGGCGCACGGCCAGTTCCGCGTCCGCGCATGTGAGTTACCCTCCGCCCATCCCCCCTCCCCGGAGGATGGGGCCAAGGAAGTCCGAGTCGTTGCCTGACTAGAGCTGGCTAGAGGTGGCGAACCGCTGCAGGACTCTCGCTGGTTTGTTTCTATGCGCTGCTTTGTATGTGTCAAGGTCACGGGATCAACCCTATAGATTGATGACTTGGGAAGACGCGACCGTACCACGGCTGAGACCTGGCGTCGCAGGCGGCCTCTTCGCTATGGTCTCGCCGCTCACCGCTCGAAGCGGGCGTCCGCCGTCGGGCCGCCGCCCCTCCCCGCCGTCAGCGCGCAGTCTGACCGGAGCGGCGCGCGCTGCCCCGTTGCAGCGGCGAGCCTGCTGCTGGTGGGTCTGGTGCCGTCCTCCCAGTTCCGGCACCTGTTCACGCAGCGCCAGCGCCAGAGCTCGGCCGAGCTGCCGCTGGCGGCCGACGCGCTCGCCGTGCTGCACCAGGTGAGCGGACGCCGGCGTCGCCGTCACGGCGGCGGCGGCGGCGGGCGCCACGGCCGGCGTGCTGGCGGTGGGTGTCGCTGATCTGCTGCTGAGGCGACCGGCTGCTGTTGATCGGTGGTGACCTCTGTTTGTCACTCAAGTGGCCAGACGCGTGCCTCGGCTCCATTGTCGCCTGTCACCCGCGTCCGGCCTCGGCTCGGCGGCACCGTTGGACTGCGGCTGCTGTTGACTGCGGACTGCTGCTGACTGCGGACTGTGGCTTTTCAGCCCTGACCCGGGCCTGTGCTTGGTACCTCGGTGTGTGTCCCTTCTGCGGTGCTCTTGCGTCGACCGCTGCGCTGATCAGTCGCGGCCTGAGTCATTCGCGCCTCAGGCGTACCGCTGTCCCTGCTGCGTCGGTGCTGGCGGATGACGCACTGACCCGTGTCTGCGCGCCTCAGGTGTACCGCTGCCTGCTGCGGCTGCTGAAGCCTGCCCGTGTCTACACGGACGTCCAGCTGCACGGCAACATGAAGCTGGTGCAGTACTTCCAGCTGATGCAACACTGTGTCGTCTCCCGGGCCGAGAAGCTCATGGTCAGTCCGGCCGGCCCGCAGCTCAGTCCTCTGGGGGAAGGGGAGGAGGGAGGGGGCTCAGTCCGACCGGCCCCGCGCCTGCCTCCGCGGGCCTCAGCGTACTGTCCGTACTCCCGTCTCTCACGCGGCACACTGCCGTCGTGGGCGCGTTGTCGAAGTTTGGGATTTGAATTTGGGGTGCTGTGCCTTATGCTCACAGGCCTATGCATGTTCGTATGATATCGTGCGATTCCTGTTGTACGCAAGGTCACGTTTAAGTGCGAGAAATGTGATTGAAGCTCATCCCCTCCATTAGGAACTATCATCCGCATGCGCTGGGCCCGGAGAGGCCGCCGGTGCTCCCTGGTATCAACACACACCGGTGTGACACCGACGCGGGGGGGGGGGGGGTGGCGTCAGTTTGAGGCGTGTCCGACGTTTGAGCGGTGTCCTGTGCCCGCGCCGCTGCAGTTCAGCCCATACACGGCGGACCTGTGGACACTGTTCCACCCGAAGCTGTCGGAGCCGTCCATAGCGGCGCACCACAACAAGCAGGCGCTGCTCATGTTCTGGTGCACGGTCTGCATCGACTGCGCCGAAAACGTGCAGCTCATCGTCACCAACCCGCACATCACCAAAAACATCGGCTTCAACTACATCCTGTGAGTCGCCGGGCGCGTGCTCGGCGCTGGCGAGCAGCCGCCCTGGCCACGTCAGGGTCGGGCTGTTGGTGACTCAGGTGCAGCGCTCCTGCGCTCGTGTTTAATGTGGTGTGCTGTGCCGCTGTTCACCGTTCCTGAGCAGGCGACGCGTTCAGACATGAACCGTGAGTCGGGAAAGCCTAGACATGCTCACCGATAGGCGTGGCTGTGGTCAATCGACTTCGTCAGCTCCGTCTGTGACGCTCGCTTCCGTTCTGTGATATAGTTGTATTGTTTTTTATCCATGCTGCTATTGCATTCATTTCTATTCATCCCCATTTGTTATAATTTTGCCTTCATGCATTTGTTTTCATTCCTTTCCAGCCATTGGCATTTATTGGTATTCATTGCTTCGTTTATTGGTTCTTCATTCATTCCCATTCATTCTTCATCCATTTGTTTTTCATTCGTTCATCCATTTACTTTCATTCACACTGAAGTTTAATCCGATTCATCCAGTACCTATTTAATGTATTGCCTAATTTTCCTCTCGTCTTGTATTTTCTCATTCAGTTTTCATTAATTTCTCTTCCCATTAATTCGCCAACGGTTGGCCGGTGCCGAGCTCCTCGTAAACGTCCGCGGCATCGCCCGTCACCACCACCATCACCATCACCACCTCCTGGTGCCGCGATTCCAGGGCGGACCACGACGACGACCAGGTGGTGCTGTTCAACCGGAGCACGCTGCCGGCCTACTACGGCCTGCTGCGGTTGTGCTGCTCCCAGTCGCGTGCCTTCACCCGCCAGCTGGCCAACCACCAGAACCTGCAGTGGGCCTTCAAGAACATCACGCCCTACCCGGCCCAGTACAGCGCGGTCAGTCGACAGCGGCCGGCTGCCTCGCCGTGCGCACGTGCGCGGCTCAGGCGCCGTCCTTTCGACCGGCCGACGTCCCACCCCCACCCCCCACCCGCCGATAGCCGGGGTGGGGGTGGACGGTGGTGTATGTGTTGTGGGGGGGGGGGGGAGGGGGTTACCGCCTCTCGGACTGGGGCACCGCGATGGCCGTGCGGTGTCGCGCAAAGGCGGTCGTGTCGTCTCGTCACATGGTGACGGGGCCGGGAGCGGGCGTGGCGCCGCCGTGTCTCAGGGAACGGGTGTGGCGCCGCCGTGTCTCAGGGAGGGGGCGTGGCGCCGCCGTGTCTCAGGGGAGCGGGCGTGGCGCCGCCGCGTCTCGGGGGAGCGGGCGTGGCGCCGCCGTGTCTCGGTAGAGCGGGCGTGGCGCCGCCGTGTCTCAGGGGAGCGGGCGTGGCGCCGCCGCGTCTCGGGGGAGCGGGCATGGCGCCGCCGTGTCTCGGGGGAACGGGTGTGGCGCCGCCGTGTCTCAGGGGAGCGGGCGTGGCGCCGCCGTGTCTCGGGTGAGCGGGCGTGGCGCCGCCGTGTCTCGGGGGAGCGGGCGTGGCGCCGCCGTGTCTCGGTGGAGCGGGCGTGGCGCCGCCGTGTCTCGGTAGAGCGGGCGTGGCGCCGCCGTGTCTCGGGAGCGGGCGTGGCGCCGCCGTGTCTCGGTAGAGCGGGCGTGGCGCCGCCGTGTCCCGGTAAAGCGGGCGTGACGCCGCCGTGTCTCGGGGAAGGGGGCGTGGCGCCGCCGTGTCTCGGTAGAGGGGGCGTGACGCCGCCGTGTCTCGGGGAAGGGGGCGTGGCGCCGCCGTGTTTCGGTAAAGCGGGCGTGACGCCGCCGTGTCCGGCCTCTGCTCGACGTTAATCTACAAGCGTCTGTGAGCCCGTGTTGCGCCTCGGCACGACTGGACGCTGAGGACGCGCGTGCTGCGGTGCCGCAGGCGATGGACGAGCTGCTGAAGCTGATGTCGCTCTTCGTCATGGTCCACCCGGACACGACCGAGCAAGAGCTGCGTGAGATCGGCGCCTTCAAGCGCCAGACGCTGCAGATGTACCTACAGGTGAGGCTGCCACCGCTGAGTGTCCCCGTCCCCGGTCCCGAACTGTCGGACACTAAGCGACTGGGCTCCAGCGAACAGGCACATGAGCACCCGGGCGGCTCGCACCCACCCAGAGGATGAGGTCCTCCTGCGGCCAGGTCATCATCAGGCCGGCACCAGATGCCGGCGCGAGGGCTCCACCGGAGTCTGCCGCTGTCGTAGCTGGCTCCTGTATGGCCCGCTTCTGCTGGCGCCGCCTCTGTCGCCCCTGCCCCGCTCGCCCTCCCCCGGCTGGTGGCCGTGTCCGCCGTCTCCGCGCCGCCGCTCACCCCTCACCCCGGCCGCCGGCAGGTACTGGACGCCCGCTCCAGCTGGGCGACGCTGATCTCGGCGCTGAAGATCCTGGTGGACACGCAGGAGGACAGGCTGTTCGTGGTGTACAACGGCGGCGTGTCTCTGCTGTGCGAGGCCACGCTGGCCCTGCACGTCATGTTCCACGAGGCCACGGCGTGCCATGTCACCGGCGAGATGACGGACCTGGTCCGCCTGCTGGCCGACACGCTCAGGTGCTGCAAGACCTTCCGCGACAACAAGGTGCGACGGCCGGGGCGGCGGCGCGCGACGCCAGGGGCTGGTCGTCGGCAGCGCCGACTGACGCCGCCGATGGCTGTTGTAGGTGACCAGCGAGTTCGTTGTGGGCAATGGATGCGTCGTTCATGCGCTATAATGCTAGCGGCTGTAGACAGAGTAAAAGGCCGTCACAGAATTGGCTTCTTGTTGGCTGAACTCCAATGTTGTGGCGAGGGAGGTCCGTCTTGCCTGCGGACGTTCGCAGCGCCCTTGTGGCATCGGCGACGTGCTGCCATACGGCTGTAGCCGTGCTGACCCGCCGACGTCGTTGCGGTGGCAGGACGTGCGACACGCGCTGCTGAACTGCAAGGAGCGCCAGGAGGTGGTACGCAAGCTGGCCACGCTGCTCAACAGCTTCGCGCCGCCGGAGCTCCGGCTCGCCTGCATCGGTCAGTGGCTGGCTGCCGCACCGGGGCTCGCGACTGATGTCTCAGGGCTCGGGACTCATGTTCCAGGACTCGGGACTCATGTCCCAGGGCTCGCGACTGATGTCCCAGGCCCCTGGGACTCATGTCCCAGGGCTCGGGCCTTATGTCTTAGGGCTGGCCACTGACAGCGGGTGTGACCTGGTTCAACGGGTCGGTGAGCTGCTCGAGCCAGTTTGTCAAATGAAGCGTGTACGTCGCTTTGAATACAGTCAAGTCTGTTGTGTCTGCCGCATCCCCTAGCGGTGCCGACCGCAGACCCTCACCGCCGGCCGTGCGCCGTGTTACAGACGCGCTGAAGGAGTTCGTGGTGGTGCTGCCGCATGAGAGCCTGCAGGTGCTGACGCCGCTGATGCTGCACTCGCACACGGCGCTGCGCGAGGCGGCCGACGCGGTGCCGCTGGGGCCGTACTTCCCGCGGCCGGGGCAGCCGGCGGCGGCGGCGGCCGGCACCGGCGCCGGCGCGCTCCGGCCGCCGCGGCCGCTGCTGCAGATGACCGTGCCGCGTCTCCAGCTGCAGGCAAACAAGGTGGGCGGCCGGGTACGGCAGCGGCCTCGCGCGCCGCCGACGCCGCGCCCCGGCCAGGCGAGCGGCCTCGGCGCTGGCTGGGAGTGGGACGCCCGGGTCCGCGCGTCGATCGGTGCTGAAAGCGGCAGTGGTCCCGCGCGACGGCATGCCGTGCTGTGTGGAGACCATTATGCCCATATCAACAGTGGTGATGACCTCGTAGTTCGGAGACCACGTCCGCCGGGAAAGGTGCCGTGTCGATGTCGCACAGGCTCATGCTAGCGTTTGGGATGTCTTGCCACGCTCCGCCGCGCCGCGCCGCTCACGCCAGCCGCGCGGCGTCTGGGAGTGGCGCGGGCGGTGCGCCATCCGCTGACGCCCCCCCCCCCCCCCCTCCGCCCGGGCAGAGTGACCGCGACGACTACGACCGCGCGCTGCTCGACTACTTCCTGCCGTACCATGTGCTGGCCGACCTGATGTGCCGGGTGGCCATCAACCACGACCTGCTGAGCGAACCACTGGTCAACCTGAGCGCGCTGCTCGGCATCGAGGGCGTGCCACTCCACCTGGCGCATTTCGCCAAACTCTGGATAGACGTGCATCAGACCAAGGTGAGGTCCATTGGGGCGGGCGGCGACAGGCTTGGGGTGCGCGTGCACCAGACCGGGGTGAGGCACGACTTGGTTGACGTCTGACGCTTTGAACTTGGTTACGATCGTGGGAAAGGCTTCTCGGTTTCCTTGGTGACGGTGAGTTCTGTCACGTTGCCTTCAGAGGTGGGTGTTTTTCCAGTCTCTGAGCTCTGCTGTGTGGGGACGCGACGGAACACTCTCGCAGTGACAACAGTGCCGTGCGTGTGCACTGAGCGTGCGCCCCTCTGACGCTCTGTGGCGCCGGCGGCAGGCGATGGAGAAACACATCGGCCGCCTGCTCAGCTGCGGCTACCTGGCCGAGTACCTGGAGCGGGTGCTGACCGCCGCCCGGCCCTCGCTCACAAACAGCGTCATCTACAAGTTTTGCTCCCTCTTCCTGCCCAAGGTGAGAGGCTACGCTCTGCAGGACGTGGAAACGAGGCGCAGGATTTGGCACTGTGGCAATGGGAGCCGGTGCCTGATCGGGTTGGGTGGTGCGGGAGCGGTATGCAGGCTGCCCCAGTGCTTGGTCGGTATGCGGCCATTTTGACCAGTAATGAGTACGCTGAGAGCTGCTACGAGTGCCGATTGCAGCAAAGGTGCCGATTTTGAGCAGGTTTTCAGGCATCTAGGCTGTATGTTTTTACAATCGTTTTGCGTCTTTATAGCATGGCTGCCAGGCGACAGACAGGTCTCAGACAGGGCTGCAGGCTTGACTAAAGCTTATATCGCAGCGTGGTGAGACCCGGTGCGCCGGTGACGAATGGCGTGACCTGCGGCGCGCCTGCTGCCCTCGCCGGGTGACGCGCTGCCGCCGTGTCGCTCCTCGTGACCGGTGCACTTGGAGCGACGCTGGGCTGGGACGCTCGGTCCGGCCGCTGCTCGGCCGTCCTTGAGACGTGTGCGATCCCCGTCACCAGGTGACCGGCGAGCGGGGTGCCGGCGGCGCGCAGGCGGCGGCGGTGGCCGCTCAGCTGGGGCCGCTCGTCGACCAGGTGACGACCGAGCTGGTCGAGCTGAGCGCCGCGGCCGGCGGCGCCGAGGCCGGACCGGCGGCGCGGCTCGGCGCCGATCTGCGCGCCCTCTCGCTGCTGTACCACGCGGCGCCGCCGGCCACGCCGCCCGCTGCGCTGCTGGCCGCTCTCCGGCAGGCGCTGGTCAAGCTGGACGTGCCGGCGGCGCCCACCGCCGCTTCCGCCGCCGCCGCGGCCGGTGCCGCCGCCGCCGCCGCCGCGACTGGTGCGGCCCAGGCGTCCGGCTCGCCAGCGGCGGCCACGGGAGCGGCGACGCCGGCCGCCGAGCCCGAGGGCGCCGCCGAGGAGGCGCCGCTCGCGACAGAGCGAACAGGTGAGGGGTGGCCCGGCGCGGCGGGGTGTGACGTAGGACGGGGCCGGTGGTGTCGGCGTGGGCTGCCGGGCCAGGACAACCGTTTTGGCACCGATGCCGGCGCATTCGGAGATTGGGGCTCATTATCCGCCGTTACCGTGGTCTGACGCGCCGTCAAAGCGGTTTTGATGACGTTCGGATGAGAGAGCGTCTCGTAGATGTCGTGACGAACGGGGATGAATGGGGCCGTAGTGGCGCAGCGCACTAGATATTTGATGTGAGGACTGGAAGCACGTGACGCAAATTGGTAAGATCCGTTCAGTTCATTTGTGTTGTTTGTTAACCACAGACATTTATATCCACGCACCACCGCGTTCGTCCACAAGCGAGAGCAGCCAGCGCTGTGTGACGGTCCATCCGTTGCTTGCCGCCATGCCTGCCCGCGCCCAGCCGCCTCTGACGCGGACGCCGACGCCGACAGGTGGCGGCTCGCCGGGCGCAGAGGCGACGGCGCTCGGGGCCGCGGACGCGACCGACGAGGAGTCGGCCGGCGGCGGCTGGCGACCGGCGCTGGCACGCGCCCTTCAGCAGCTGCTCGACCAGCTGTCCGCCAGCAAGGCTTGTGATCGTAGACTGTAGAGGGGTCGGCGGCCTCTCGTCCGGCGAGCGCGCGCGCGGGTCGGCCGCGGCGGCTGCGGGGCGCGCCGGCGGCGCCAGCGGCGACTGTATTATCTATTTTCTTACGTCGCTTTGGAAAGACATTTATGTGATCCGGTTTTTTTCTCGATAGGCTGTCCAGCGAGTTGTCCTGATTTTACGGCTTCGTATGTGTGTTGTCGTTTTTTAGCTTGAAACCTCGTTCAATCTCAAATATACAGTTGTTGGCCGTCGTAGGCTTACGTGATGGTTGTCTGTTGGTGCACTGCGGCCTGGTGAACGCTGAACAGGCGGCGGCGGCGCTGGCCTCCAGTTCGCACGGCAGCGTGCCTGTGACGGAAAGGCCATAGACATTGCTCCCGGGGCCAAACGGCTGAGGAGCGTTGCCAGACGACTCTCCTCAGCCGACTGAGAGCAGACGGCGATGGTGGCGTCAGCCTCGGGAGGCGCCAATCCGCTGCAGGAATTCAGAGGGCCAGTGTTGTCAATATCGTGATATTGGTGGGACTGACTGAGCGTGGTCGCGGCCAGTCTGTGGCAGTATGTAGAGTAATATGTTCAGGCCCAGTTTCAGTTGCCAGTTTGGAAGCTGCCTTGCGGTCAGTTGGCTTCAAAACTCACGTGTTCTGTCCGCTAGCTGGGCAGGCCACCGGCCCGTCTACCATCGCCCATCGCTTCTCCGTGCGTTCTCGCACCGCCACTCTCCGGGGCGTGCTGCAGCCGTCAGCTCCGAGCTCGCCTAGTGCTGCCTTGTCGGTGGCCCTTGTGTGAGCGCCCGAACATTCGGTTCTGAGGGGGTCCGTGTACAGGGGAGGGTCGTCGGCGGAGGTCTCCGACGGTGGCCGCGGTCAGCAGCGTTTCCCCACCGCTCGTCTTGCTCTTTCATCCCGTAGCCATGGCGTGGTCAATACTGGCCGAAAGGGCTCTTATGCGAACCAAACCAAACCAAACCAAACCCGCTCAATGTATGCTGTCCGGCTCTGAGGGCGTGACGCGTGATTACACGATCGCTATCATATGCGTTCAGCGACCCTGAGGAGCGATCCAGTCATCTAGCGATCACTGCGTCATAAGATCACGGGGGACCATCTAAAGCCTGCGGCGTGGTAACGTCGGTGGCCCATCGTGGCGCTCTTCTGGAACTGAGCTCGGGCCTGTCTTCTAGGCACTCGGCTAGGCAGCTAAACAAAACACTGGACCTTCGCTGCGTTCATACGGCACGCTGGTATCGGAAGCCTGGGCAACATGCCGGCTGGCAACTTGGAGCGAGTTTGCTCTGCGCGTGGAGTGAATATACAGACAGGGAAGCCGATGAGGAGGAAGATTCGGGGAGTGCTGTGTACCAATTATGAGCTACAAGCTTGTACAAACTTCAGCAGTGGATGAGTCCTAAGGCCGCCATGGCTCCAATGTTTGCCGGCCAGGGCCTGCGTCGATTCCATTCGCTGTTGATGGTCAACTGGCCATTGGTCAGAGGATTAGACTGACAGGCCGGGCCGTGCCGGGCATGTCGTGAACAATGTGGACGAGAACGGCGGGTTCAGTGAGTCGGGCAAAGGCAAAGCTTCATGGCGGTGACGGCGAGAGGACCGAAAATGGCCCCCCCCCCCCCCCTGTGGCGACGAGATGGACAAGGACACACACATCGAGCACGAGGCGCCGGCCTTCGTTGTGGGCTTCGTGGCGGCCAAGTGCAAACACCGATCCAAGTATGGGACTGTCGGCCCGAGAGGCACCACCCAGCTGTGTGCCAGACAGCTGGACACACACGATTAGACAGAGGTGATCTGATGGTGCCGTTGCCGGCCTGGACGAGCGTTGTCGAGGCTTTCGAGATCGTGCTCCAACTAGTGATGGACCGAGGCATGGACCAAGACATTGGCATCATGGACCGCCCACAAAGCTCCTGGTGAGAAAGTTCTGCTCTGGACAAGCGGATTGCTCGGAAGCTGGTGAGGACGCGCATCCATTTGCACCTCAGATGGCTTGATCAGGCTGGGGCTGAGCGAGCTGCTGCCGGGCGCGCAGCTAAACAGGTGCGACATCAGGTGCACAGCGCGAAGTGAATATGGTTGTGCTTATGTGAGCATAAGAAATTGAGCTTAAATAAGCATCGTTATGCCTTCTTTGTCTTGCATGCTTGTGTGTCTGTCTGAGGCATAGACGGTTCCTTCGCATACACACATTTGGGTTGCTTCAGACTGGTTATCATGTCGCATAACTCCGGACTTATGCTGTGTTGTCTATAGTGTGTTCTCCGTTCCCCCTGTTTATTTTGGGTCCTCGCCAAGTGTGCACAATGAAGTGTATACTGGTGCAAGAATCGCTTTAGTAAAACACGGCGAATTCTGGGTCATGTGCGTGTTCGATAAATTGGCTGCATGGCGTGACGGATATCATCTTGGTTAACACCATGCGCCACGACCTTCAGAGGCTTCTTGGCATAGTTGACGCAATGTGCAATGTCCACAATGTCCTATGTTCTACCAGGCAGCGTGCTACTTCCGTCGTCTCAAACTGCCTCAATCGCACACCAGTGCAACCCAGCGCGCTATTATGCATAGTGCTGAAGTTCAACGCGACAGGTCGGATGATGATCCCGGTGCCGCTCAGTTCTCGCTTTGGCAGTGGCTGGACCTGGGACAGGTTCACTAACCCGTATTTAAGCAGCTGTAGGCTGGCCGACTTCAATGCATCGCCATAGACTCAATGTTTGGCATCCTCAGCAAATGGGAGTGCCATGGCACATGTGTTCGTAGTTCCTAGGCCTATGTTCGCTGTTTTACAACAGGCGGGACAAAAATAACCTTTTATATTTCCTCATAGTACTTCTTGAAGTGCCGTGTGGCGATCGCCAGATGCATTTGTTAGTAGGTACGCCGGTGCAGCAGACGCGAAGGTGATGCTGACGGCGCGGTGATGCCAGGCTGCGACTTTGTAACGTCACTCTAATGGTGAAGGAAAAGTGCCGGAAAAATCCCCGGATGATCATACCTTATTACATGGCCTTGGTGTGGGGGTAAAGACGCGGCTACCATATACTATCCGTATGAAGGGCGCTTTGGATTCGATTATGGCGCGGCTGATTCGTTTGTAGGCATGTATGGTGCACGGATTTTGGTCAGTGCCCGATGGCAGTGGGATTGTTTGTGGGAAGCGGGTTGTCCATGCGGTGGTATGGAATTTTATTCCGAGTTAGGTCATAGTGTTCATGAGTTGAATTGGGGTAGTGTGAGTGTTTTATTGAAAAAATTAACTGAACGATAAATATATTCAGAGTCACTGTGTATTTTGTTTGTGTTTAGTGAGCTCGATTCCCAGATACCTAGCTCACGTTATTAGCATTGTTCAATTTCTTACCTCAAGTCAACCCCTCAACATATAGCTATATTACTGGTCATTGAATGAAGTGCAGAAGCCAATGCTGGGTCAATTGCCCATTGCGGTTGCCAGTGTCTTTGTAAGTGTTATGAATAGGAATCAAACGCAGGATGTCAAGGTTGTTGGGCATATCAAAGATGTTTGCCAATTTTTGGGAAAGCTAAATTCAGATTTCTCAAATTGGCTTAAACCACAGAATATTCATCATGCAAGGCAAAGACATGCAAGTACCTTTGTTTTTGAACAGTGCTTGTGTCATTTTATGTGTTTGCAGTAGAGATCCAAGGCATATTGGACTACCCATCCTTGCACTTTATCCTTGACCAAGGCCCTGTGAGAAAAGCTTATCATAATGAATGAAAGAATGTGACATTCATCCTCAGATCCATGATGAGACCAACATTTTGCTTACATATTACTAGTAAAACCCTGTGGACCCATAAAACCAGTGGACCAAGCCATGTCAAATTTAGCAGGAGTGCATTGTGGATTTCTATGGATATAACTGAGATAGGTTCATTCAATAACCTTGATCCCAGTAGCAGTGGTACATTTTCAGGTAATAGACACTGCTGACTGGTGGTTATGTAACTGAATGTTGTAGATGGAAACAACATATGAAAATGGTGAAAAACTATAAAAATCTGCTAGCATCCATCCAGCGCTCTTTGCGTTTTGTTGGATGTGACGTCAAGAACATATAACTCCTGCCGGTTTGGCCTTTTGTTAGTGAAAGGTTAAGGTTGAAATGCATTGCTTTCTACTATATTTTTGTCAGTTTTCTACTTAAAAGCATTTTTACACTACCGTATGTTGAAGCTTCAATTGTGAACTTTAGACAGATATGGTTACCTCTCCTAGGCAGATGCATCTTCTTCAGTTGTAACATGTTTGTTTGCAGGCCTTAACAAGCAATGATGGATGGTCTTCAAGGAGAGGCAAGTAATATTATGTCAATGTCATCTTGTCTTGAGCTCACATGTCAAACATGCAACACTTGGCACATTGTCCAGATTCATCCTTGTGAGCTGCTTTTGGATGCCTTTTACAGGAAAGGTAAAAGCAAACAGGGCAAAACAAAATTAAAACACATTTTCTTGCAAATTTGTAATGCACCTCTACCTACCAGTGTGGCAGGCAGGCCTTTCATGTTCAACACAGGTTCAGAGCTTGCATGTAAGAGCAGTGCTATCATCAACAGTGCACACAAACAAAAAATTTTGCAGGTGGAGAACTTGGTGAGCCAGCTTGGCTTTGACAAGCTCAGCAGCAAGCAAATAGATGATGACATTGACGACGCACCAGAGTATAAGCCCAAGAAAACCGCGCGGAAGCGAAAACGCGATGCTGAGTCTGCTGCTGCCAGCAGACCGGCCACCGAGTCCTCTGCCACCAAAGGCGCTCCGCAGCGCGCACCCCGCCCTGCAAAACTCCAGAAGAGCCAGCGCCCAGACGCGACCCAGAGGCCGGGCAAATCGCGGCGTCGCGACGGTGGGGCAGAGCCGGCGGCTGAGCCGGCGGCGACGGCGACGGCGGTGGCGCCGCGGCCGGCCGAGCCGAGGCGGGCGCGGCGCCGCGGTCCCCCCGAGCCGGCCGTCCAGGTGGCCGAGGTGTCGAGCTCGGCCGAGGAGCCGGCGCCGCCGCCGCCCAGCCAGCCGCGCTGGTACCAAAGCTCGGTACGTACCGGCCGGACGCCGCGCAGTCTGGGAGGGGCACGTGTGGGGGCGGGGCAGCGGGTCGCGGGTATGCTTGGGTCGGCGTGTCGGGAGTTGGACAGTCACCACTGTGGTGACAGTGACTGGTCACCACTGTGGTGACGGTGACTAGTGCGGTTAATGCTGCTCTGGAGATGACTGATCTGGTCAGTCCAGTTTGATCGAAGCAGATGGTCATGGCATGAGCTCCTAGTGCAAGACTTCCTCATCCATCAACAAAACCAGGCTTTCGTTGTACCTAGCGAGATCATCTCACCATTAAGCTATGCTGCTTCAAAGAAGCGGACGCCTAATAAGCGTGAGAAAAAGAGAAAGCTTGAGGCCTGCGCTATGGATGTTGTGTTTCAGGAGCTGCACCTCCAAGCTAAACATAACCCTCACGCCAATTCCACTCTGCTGGGCATCGCCGACCGACCGCTCGCGGCCCGACGGCGGGCGGTTGTCGGCCGGCCTGCTCGGCAAAACGGGACAGGGCCAGGTCGGCTCCTCGTCCATGACAGGCCCCTAACGATCCGTGACGATCCGTGCTGCTGTCCGACAGGTGACGGACCGGCCGGCCGCACCCGTGCCGGAGGGCGTGGCCTCCCGGCTGCTGCAGGAGGCCGCGGCCGCCCTCAGTCAGGGTGTGAAGGCCTTCAAGGCCGGTGAGTGCGCCGCAGCTGTGACAGTGGGGCAGCTTGAGGGAGAACAGCTGCACCGAACTGTGGTGAATTTCTTGACTGCTGAGCTTGTGTTGGAGCAAGTGAAGTCGCTCGTTGTCCCTGCAGAGCCGGTGTTGGAACCAATGAAGTCGCTCGGTGTCCTCTCGTCATCTATCTCGCTTATTGATTCCTGACTGGCTGCCGTTACAGATGCTGTTGAGTGGCTTAGCTGCTGCAGTTAACGCTTGTTCCTCTGCTGGACAAGGACGGAGTGCCAGCTGGTGTGTGTTCATCTTTCACTGGCGTGTCCCGTTTCACCGCGGGTGGATGCTCTCCATCCCCTTTCGTCCCCTCTGACCACCCTACTTCGACCCTGCTGTCCTGGGACATATCCGCCCCCGCACACTTCACTTGACCTCACCACCTGACCGTATGCTGACTTGGTCGCTGACTGACTGGGTCGCTGACTGACTCGGTCGCTGACTGACTCGGCCTCCGACTCTGACGCTGACTGACTGTGTCGCTGGATGGCTCGATCGCTGACTGACTCAATCGCTGACTGACTCGGTCGTTGAATCTGACTTGGTCGCTGACTGACTCGGTCGTTGACCGACTCCGACTCTTCCGCTGATTCTGACTCGGCTGTTGACTCAGATTTGGTCGCTGACCCTGACCCGGGCGCGCCGCCAGATGGCGCCGGCCAGGCGGCCAGCCAATGGAGCTGGACACAGACGGTGCTGACCTCGGGCACCGTGTCGGACAAGCTGGCGGCGCGGCAGGCGCTGCTGCGCGCTCGGCCCCAGTTCGGCCTCCACCTCATCGACGACACGGTCCGCATGGTGGCCGCCAAGGGCAAGGGCCACGCCATGCAGGCTATGAGTGAGTGCCGGCCGGCCGGGCGCGTGGACGTGCGGGTCGCCGCGGCTGCGCAGTTGTGGAGGACGATCAGGAGGTGGGGGAGTGGGAGGGGAGGGGAGGACGGTCAGGAGGTGGGGGAGGACGGGCGGGATGACCGGCGCGAATTTCGGGCGGTGGGGACCTGTGTGCGACGGGGTTGTGCCGTTTTTGTTCCGTGACTGCGGACTTGGAGCGGGCTACCTTCGATTGCTGCACCCTGTGAATGTGGCGAGTGACCCTCACGATTGGCTCGTCTCTTCGGCCGCCGATCCATTGTGCTGAAGGACCAGGCCTGGAAGAAGCATTCGCTTACATGAGGCACGATGAAGCGGGCGCTTAGCGCGGGCCGTCTTGGCGAGAGTCGGCGCCTTGTGTCGCGCGGGTGTACCTGTTTCGAGCCAGGTCACTGCATGGTTCTCAGAACTTGCCGTGCCGGAAGCGTGATGGGCGCAGAATGACCATAGCAGTCGGTGCACCCCAAAACCCCAGTCATCATCGTCGTGACGCAAGCGTGCTTTCAGACATGCTGGCGGACCTGTTCGGGCAATACCTGCTACCTCCGAATCGGAAGCTAAAGTTGTTTGCCCAGCAGCCGCTAGGGGCGCTGCAGGACATCGCCGGCGGCGATCCCGCCGTTCGCAGGCGTCAGCTGATTTTCTGGTGAGTTTCCCTAGCTTTGTTTTGTTGTTTTTCACCTGCGAAGGTACACCGAACAAGCACCTGTCGCGTTGCCGTCATCCCACCACGGACCAGTGGGCACGCCGTCGGTCGCCGGCCAGTTGCCCCCTCCCCCCCCAACCCGCCGCCGGAGCTTGCCCGAGAGCCGGAGTACGGAGCGAGCCGTGGTCACCCGGTCCCAGTGCTCCGCCGCCGCACTGACCGCTGTGTCGCCCGCAGGCTCTTCGAGGAGCGCCTGAAGGCCGCCTACAAGGAGTTTGTGGGCCGGGTGCGCGAGATGGCGCACGACACGGTCGAGAAGTCGCGCAAGCACGGCGTCAACACGCTGGCGCAGCTACTGGTGGCGCACCCCGAGCTAGAGCAGGTGCTGAGGCGGGACGGCGGTGTGCCCTCGGCTGACGGGGACGGGGTCACGGGTCACAGGATAGGTCATGACCCAGTCACCGGCCGATGGCCATCGGGGGGGGGGGGGGGGGGGGCGGGGCATCCCGGAGTGGACCTCGGCATTGGGAAACCCTGATCGCATGCAGATAGAAGGAAGAAAGTTTAACAGGTGGTGTGGTGCGTAACGGGGCTTTCGTGAGTTTTTGCTGTAGCCACACACTACAGCGAAATGGACAGCTGATGCGCTCATGTTGGCCCAACGTCACTCGTTCTCATACGTTCGTCAGGTCCTCCCACCGTCCCGCTGAGCACCATCGTCACGTCACGTGCTGAAGTGCGGGCCCATCGCCACCAGGAGGCCTCAGCGTCCGTTAGCCCGACTCATTAACACCATCACCGACACCAGTTCCATCACCGCTATTACCACCACTATTACCACCACTGTCACCATCACCTCCATTGCCACCACCGTCACCAGCAACATCGCCACCACCATTACCACCATCGTTACCATCACCGCCATTGCCACCACCGTCACCACCACCATCGCCACCACCATTACCACCACCGTCACCACCACCACCATCGCCACCATCGTCCTCGCCGTCAACGTAATCCCGACAACCATCACGACAATTCGCAATGCCACTCATCACCTTTTCCATCACCATCATCACCGTCATCACCATCGCCATCATCACCATCACCATCGTAAGCATGACCATGCCGGTGTTGCGGCCACCGCAGACGCTGCTGGAGACGCTGGCCAATAAGCTGGGCGACGAGAAGAAGTCGGTGGCGTGCCTGGCGGTGCGTCGGCTGAGCTCGCTGCTACGTGCCCACCCGGCCATGCGCACCGTGGTCGTCAAGGAGGTGGAGCGGCTGCTGTTCAGGTGCGCCACCCCGCCGCCGCCGCCGCCGCCGCCGCCGCCGCCACCGCCGCGAGCAGCGGTCGCGCCGCAGGTCTGCTGTATGGGGTGGCTGCTGCGGAGCCTGGCGGCCGACACGCTGCAAAACGCCAGTCACTGTCATTATCACCACCTGTGATAGGTGTGGCGGTATGCTGTTGTGGTGGACGTGGTGTGCGTGTGGTACTGCTGAGTGTGGCGTCCGATGTCCGATAGTGCCCGTCAGCTCGAGTGGTGTAGCCGTGCTATGCCCTCCTCGTCACCGCTCCTCCCGTCACCGCTCCGTCCGTCACTGGCCCGTCCGCCATCGTTCCATTGCTCCGTCTGTCACCGCTCTGTCTGTCACAGATCCACCCGTCACCGCTCCGTACGTCACTGGCCCGTCCGCCACCGTTCCATCTGTCACTGCTCCGTCCGCCACTGTTCCATCTGTCACCGCTCTGTCTGGCACAGATCCACCCGTCACCGCTCCGTGCGTCACTGGCCCGTCCGCCACCGTTCCATCTGTTACTGCTCGGCCGCCATGTTCCATCTGTCACCGCTCTGTCTGTCACAGATCCACCCGTCACCGCCGTACGTCACTGGCCCGTCCGCCACCGTTCCATGTCATGCTCCGTCCGCCACCGTTCCATCTGTCACCGCTCTGTCTGTCCACAGATCCACCCGTCACCGCTCGGACGTCACTGGCCGTCTGCCACCGTTCCATCTGTCACTGCTCCGTCCGCCACCGTTCCATCTGTCACCGCTCTGTCTGTCACAGATCCACCCGTCACCGCTCCGTACGTCACTGGCCCGTCCGCCACCGTTCCATCTGTTATTGCTCCGTCCGCCACCGTTTCATCTGTCACCGCTCTGTCTGTCACAGATCCACCCGTCACCGCTCCGTCCGTCACTGGCCCGTCCGCCACCGTTCCATCTGTCACTGCTCCGTCCGCCACCGTTCCGTCTGTCACCGATCTGTCCGTCACCGTTCCATCTGTCACCGATCCGCCCGTCACTGCTCTGTCTGTCACCTATCCACCCGTCACCGCTCCGTCCACCACCGTTCCATCTGTCACTGCTCCGTCCGCCACCGTTCCATCTGTCACTGTTCCGTCCGTCACCGCTCCATCTGTCACCGTTCCGTCCATCACCGCTCTGTCTGTCACCGCTCCACCTGTCACCGCTCTGTCTGTCACCGATCAATCCGTCACCGCTCCGTCCGCCACCGTTCCATCTGTCAATGTTTCGTCCATCACCGCTCTGTCTGTCACCGCTCTAACTGTCACCGATCCACCCGTCACCGCTCTTTCCGTCACTGCTCCGTCCGTCACCACTCCACCTGTCACCGCTCTGTCTGTCACCGATCCACCCGTCACCGCTCCGTCCGCCACCGTTCCATCTGTCACTGCTCCGTCCGCCACCGTTCCATCTGTCACTGTTCCGTCCGTCACCGCTCCATCTGTCACCGTTCTGTCCATCACCGCTCTGTCTGTCACCGCTCCACCTGTCACCGCTCTGTCTGTCACCGATCCATCCGTCACCGCTCCGTCCGCCACCGTTCCATCTGTCAATGTTCCGTCCATCACCGCTCTGTCTGTCACCGCTCTAACTGTCACCGATCCACCCGTCACCGCTCTGTCCGTCACTGCTCCGTCCGTCACCACTCCACCTGTCACCGCTCTGTCTGTCACCGATCCACCCGTCACCGCTCTGTCAATCACCGTTCTGTCTATCACCGTTCCATCTGTCATCGCTTCGTCTGGGACCGCTCCGTCGGTCACCGCTCCACCTGTCACCGCTCTGTCCGTCACCGCTCTGTCCGTCACCGCAGGCAGAACGTGGGAAAGCGGGTGCAGTTCTACGGCATCTGTTTCCTCTCGCAAGTGCAGTTCTCGGACGAGGGCGACGAGGCGCTGGCGCAGCGGATCGTCCGCATCTACGTCGGTTTCTTCCGCGCCTGCGTCAAGCAGGTGGGCCGGCCGTGACGCCGCGGAGGACGGGCGTTCAGGCGTGTGTGGCCAGTGATGCGCCAAGATTGTGGTGTGCTGTCCGTTTGTGGCGCAGTCAGGAGTCTCTGCGGCGGTGTTCCGGACCTTGCCACTGCCGGACTCAGGCGTGTCCTCTCCCCGGCACGTCTGTCGGTCATACCTCTACCTCCTCACTCTCTGGCACGTGGCGCCGCCCACCGACCTCTCCCACCTGTCGGCTGTATCTCTGGTCACGTGACAGGTCGGGTACCGCCGCGACCCTCCGCCAGCCGCCCGTTTGACCGCCCCCCCCCCCCCCCTCCTCCCCGGGTAGGCGGAGCTGGACGCGCGTCTGATGCGCGCCCTGCTGACGGGCCTCTCGGACTGCGTGGGCCGGGCGCGCCTGCTGGCCACCGAGCTGCAGCAGTACATGCAGCCGCTACACCACATCGCGCAGCTGGCCAACTTCGGCGTGGCCACGCAGGCGCTGCTGCTCATGTTCCGGCTGACGACAGCCGGCGGCCAGACAGAGCCCACCGACCGGTGAGGCGGCAGGCGACGGCTGGGGACGGGCCGGCGGACAGACAGAGCCCACCGACCGGTGAGGCGGCGGACGGCGGCTGGGGATGGGCCGGCGGCCAGACAGAACCCACCGACCGGTGAGGCGGCGGGCGACGGCTGGGGACGGGCCGGCGGCCAGACAGAGCCCACCGACCGGTGAGGCGGCGGACGGCGGCTGGGAATGGGCCCGTTGGCAGGCGGCGGCTGGGGACAGGCTGGTCAGTTGGCGGGATAGCGGGGCCTGCTGGCGGTTGTCCGGCGAGGTGCGCCCGTCGACGGGCGAGCCCTGTGTTGCTGCTGGGTATGCTGACCTGGCTGGGAACAGGAGGTACGAGGGTTAGACGCTGACTGCAGACTACTGGGGGACGTTGGTGTTGCTGGCGAGGCGGGCTACAGAAGTTTTGCGGGGGCGCCGGTTGGGGCAGACGACCACATGGAAACGACGGGTATGCATCAGTTCCGCTAGTACGAACCTAATGTCATTGTAGAAACTTTGGGATAGGTTCATGCGTATTAAACACAGGCCCAAGCCCCATATATTGCTCAAGCACCGTTCAGCTGATGCTCAAGGTACCTTCTGCACCTATGCATTGCTAAAACGCTATTCGACGGATGCTTCAGTTACTACTGCGCGCTCTACAAGAAGCTGGTCCACCCGGGTCTGGCCACATCGCAGAAGCTGGCCGACTTCCTGAACCTGGTGTACCGCTCGGTCCGGATGGACTCGTGCCAGCCGCGAGCGCGTGCCTTCATCAAGCGCCTGCTTCAGGTCAGTGGCGCTGACGCCGCGCGGAGGGCCTCGCTGACGCCCGCCGTGCTGCCCGGAGACTGGTGAACACGCAAACGGGACCTGTTGTTCATCCGTGGCAAAACGCCTCGGCGGAGGTCTGTCCCTTTGAGACGGTTGTGGAGTGCATGCGTGCAAAGTTGATTTGAAGCCGCCATATGTTTATTATGAAGCGCTCCCACTGCTGGTGTATGCTGGGGCCAGTGAGTGCTCGCGCGACCCGGCATGAGTCTGGGGCATTGCGCAACTGACCCACTGTGCTCCAGTGTGCGTGACATGCTCCCTCCCCCACCCGAGCACGCCTGCGCTGACGCCGCCGCCACCGCCGGCCGCCACAGGGCTGCCTGCACCAGACGGCGGCGTTGGCCTGCAGCGTGCTGCTGCTCGTCTCCGAGCTGTTCCGGCGGCGGCCCGAGCTGGCGCACGTGGCCGGCCAGGCGACGGCCGCCGCCTGGACGGCCGACGACCACAGTGACGGCGAGGAGGCGCCGAGAGACGTGCCGCTGCCGGTGAGGCGACGCCGCCGCGGGCCGGAGCCCCCCCCCCCCCCCCCCGCACACACACTGTTCGTCTGGGGCGAGTCCTCTGACAGGGGGCGGGAAGGGGAGGAGCGTGGAGGGTGACGGATCGGGGGGCCAGCTCATTGACATATGAGGAGTGTGATGTCTGAGTCGGCCAGTGGGGTATCAAAGGTCTCAGCAGGATTAAGTGTAGCACAAAAAGGCTAATGTGCTAAGCAAGCAGCGGCACATCAGTGTGTAAAATTCACAAGGTGAAAACTCCTTTCTGGCGCATGCTTCGCTGTAAAGGAGCTTCAGTTCCAGTGCGCCGTCTGTGAGGCGTCGCGCTCTCCGCGTTGCGTGTAGTGCGCCTTTCAGCGCCCCGCGTGCCGCCTGACCTCAGGACGAGCCTCAGGACGAGCCCCGGCACGAGCGTGAGGACGAGCCTCGGGCCGCGACGGCGGCGGCGGTGCCGGCCGGCTGGCAGTTCGTGGGCGGCGCGCGGCCGGGCGCCAGCCGGCGTCGGTACGCGCCGCTGTACCGCGAGCCGCGCTGGTGCCGCGCCGAGCTGGCGGCGCTGCACGAGCTGGCGCCGCTGGCGCGCCACTTGCACCCTACGCTGGCGCTGTTCGCCGGCCAGCTGATTGCCGGGCGGCAGGCCCAGTATTCGGGCAACCCGCTGCACGACTTCCAGCTGATGCACTTCCTCAACAGGTGGGCGGCGCGACGGGGCACTGGGCGCCTCTGGTGGGACCGAGGGAGGCTGGCGGTTGGGATGGCGGCCGCTGGGGGCGTCGGCGGCACCTGGCCGACGTGTCTGGTGCACTGCTGGGTGTAACCCTGACTGCAGCGTGGCGCACTTAACTGCAGTGTGTGTGTAATCCCATGGCTCGCTGTGAACTCAACAGTCGTCTGTGACTCCGCTGCGGTAGAAGCGAACGGCAAGCAGCAACGGCCACTACCACGCCCACTCCACCAACGCTTTGAGCATTGGGCATGATGCACTACCCGTTGATGACATCGATTACGAAGCGAATAGAGCCGTTTGACATAAACAACAACAACAACGACAAAAAGCTATTTCGGGCGACAGAGCCGTCCATAAGCTAGGCATGATGTGAACTTGCTGTAGCCCGAGGCGCCGCCCACTCGGCCGGCGCCGAACCGTCTGAGGTTGACCGTGCTGCGCCGTCCGCAGGTTCTGCTACCGCAACCCGAAGAAGTCTGCCTCGGTGGCGGAGACGGCGCGTCGGCTGCCTGTCAGCTCTGCCGAGTACGCCCGGCTGGCACCCAGCCAGGTGCCGCACGACGAGAAGTTCTTCCACCGGTGAGGCGGCTCACGCGGGCGATGTGTGTGTGTCTCTGTGTGCTGGACCCCGATCGGTGCACTAGGAGCGGTGTGGAGTGGGCGCTTGCCTTAGAGACATTAATGGCTGTCTTCGCATGAGTCGTGCTCAAGTTCCGTGGAGGGTCTAGCTCTCTCAACACGAGCCCAAGAGCAGCCGAACAACTTACCACCAGGTGCCAGGCCGGCTCGCCCCGTGTTAGGTTGAGATGCTTGGCAGTGTGGCCCGTGTGGAGCGGCATGCCTGGCTGCCCACGGCGGCAACCTCGGCTAGTGTTAGCACGAGTCTGCAGCACGTAATCCTGTCGCCTCCCAGCGACGCGACGCCGAGGCCCAGGCCGGACTGTGGCGCCTTTATCTAATAGACGTGTCTTTTTTGTTTTGTTGACACTTGGTTAACATGCTGCGGACAAAACTCGGTTAGCACGAAGCACGCCATCCTACTTCTTCGTCCCACCAGCTCTTGCAGCTCGTGCAGCTCGTCGGCCGTGTGATCATCGTGCTGGTGTTGTCCGGCACGCTCGTGTGCCGCCGCCCGGCCGGTCACGCGCGCCTGGCGCCGCCGCAGGTACTTCCAGTGGCGCGATGAGCACGGTCTGACGGCGAGCGCCGCCGGCCGGCCGCTGACCGACGCCAGCGGTGACGTCACAGACGAAGCCTTCGACGACTTCCTGGACGGCTTCTTCGAGAAGAAGAGGAAGGCCGGCGACGGCGTCGACTTCCTGACAGAGATCGCGCACGGCGCGAGGAGGCACTGGAGGAGGGTGAGGGAGGGAGGGTCACGGCGCGCGGGTTCCGGCTGGCAAGGGACGGTGTCTCCCAGCGGCGTGAGGGTTTGGGTTATACGGCCAGATTGTCTTGCAGGTGATTGGACTGTCTCCGTCTCCGTCTCCGTCTCCGTCTCCGTCTCCGTCTCCGTCTCCGTCTCCGTCTCCGTCTCCGTCTCGTCTCCGTCTCTCCGTCTCCGTCTCCGTCTCCGTCTCCGTCTCCGTCTCCGTCTCCGTCTCCGTCTCCGTCTCCGTCTCCGTCTCCGTCTCCGTCTCCGTCTCCGTCTCCGTCTCCGTCTCCGTCTCGTCTCCGTCTCCGTCTCCGTCTCCGTCTCCGTCTCCGTCTCCGTCTCCGTCTCCGTCTCCGTCTCCGTCTCCGTCTCCGTCTCCGTCTCCGTCTCCGTCTCCGTCTCGTCTCCGTCTCCGTCTCCGTCTCCGTCCCGTTCCGTCTCCGTCTCCGTCTCCGTCTCCGTATCCGTCTCCGTCTCGTCTCCGTCTCCGTCTCCGTCTCGTCCGTCTCCGTCTCCGTCTCGTCTCCGTCTCGTCTCCGTCTCCGTCTCCGTCTCCGTCTCCGTCTCCGTCTCCGTCTCCGTATCCGTCTCCGTCGTCTCGTCCGTCTCCGTCTCCGTCTCCGTCTCCGTCTCCGTCTCCGTCTCCGTCTCCGTCTCCGTCTCCGTCTCCGTCTCCGTCTCCGTCTCCGTCTCGTCTCCGTCTCCGTCTCCGTCTCCGTCTCCGTCTCCGTCTCCGTCTCGTCTCCGTCTCCGTTCGTCTCCGTCTCGTCTCGTCTCCGTCGTCTCGTCTCCGTCTCCGTCTCCGTCCGTCTCGTCTCGTCTCCGTCTCCGTCTCCGTCTCGTCTCCGTCTCGTCTCGTCGTTCTATATCTAGTCTTCTCGCTCTCTCTCTCTCTCTATCTCTCTCTCTCTCTCTCTCTCTCTCTCTCTCTCTCTCTCTCTCTCTCTCTCTCTCTCTCTCTCTCTCTCTCTCTCTCTCCTCGTTCCCCCTAACGGTCGCGCCCCGTGCCCAGCAGATGATGTCGACGGCGGTGACGACCTGAGCCAGACAGACAGACTGCTGGAGGATGAGGATGATGAGGAAAAGGACAGTTTGGGAGACGACTCAGACGACGATCCCGGTGAGTGGGACCGGCGGCTCCGGCTTTAAGCGCCGTAGCCGGCGGCTTCGGCTTCGGACGGCAGCGTCTCCCGCTACACGGCTGGCGGCGAGAGGCGCGCCGGCCGCTGGGGCTGGTGACCTGCCGCCTCTGTGGGGGCCTCGGCCCGGCGTGGGCCGCTGTTGTGACTGTTTGCTGACTCTTGACGGTGGATTTGTGCGTTTCGTGCTGAAACGGCGCCTGCAAGACGTGGAACTTTGATGTTGACGGACCATCAGTTCACCAGCATCTCAGTGTGTGGTTTCCGACTGGTTTCAGAGTTTCCAATGATGACCTCCGGATCGCGTCCGGTGACCACCAGCAACACGCAGTCCAAGGTAACACCGCCACCGTCGCGAACCAGCCCAAATTTGGGGTTCAGGAACTTGAAACTCTTAGCTGGCCAGCGTTTCATGCCGGTATGAATTATGCCAACTAATCTTTTACATTTGACAACTAGGATGTGGCCCGTGTCACAATGAGTACTGCGCTGGTGCCAGCAGACCTGGCGGCGTGTCTGGCTGCCGAGCCTTTGTCGGTCCACCCCACCTCCGTTTATCTGTCTCCGGAGCCCTCTTGCCGCTCCATGTCCGTCGGATTTTTCTCTCGTGCCTTCTAACCGCCCCATATACATCTGTGTCTGTCTCCCGGGCCTCTAACCGCCCCATATACATCTGTGTCCGTCTCCCGGACCTCTAACCTCTCCATCTCCATCCGTGTCCGTCTCCTGGGCCATCTGACCGCCCCATCTCCGTCCGGCTGTGCCTCTGACCGCCACACCTCCGGCAGAAGGGAGATGTTTCGGACCTGTTCTCCGCGGCGGACGAGTACCCCGACCTGTTGGACGAGGATGACGAGCCGGCCGAGGACTCGTCCCGGGCTGCCGGTGGGTGTCCTCCCTGAGCGATGTACCCCTCGTATGCGCGCTGCTCGGATGCGGCTGATGCCCGTCAGAGACGCCGGCTCCGTCCTTCTGGGATATGTGCTCGTTTGGTCACGAGCGTTATGAACTGAGCCGTGTGAAATGTTTGATTAGCGGCATACTGTATCGCGTGGGCCTGAGACCGAAAGAAGGTCGAACGTTTTGCCGGCATGTTTTGGAGTTTTGGGGCCAGTCCTGAGATGGCAGCTTGTGGAAAAGAGCCACTTAAACCTAACCCGATACCTAAAATCTAACCACTAAAGGCGGGCGTTTTCAGCGTGACGGAGTCTTTGGCGTTGGTGTTTCGGCTAAGTGGTGCCGAAGGGCCAGGTTATGCTGCGTGATAGCGCTGCATTGCTATCCTGAGCACCCTGGCCAGTCGGTGACCTGATGCGTGTGAGAAAGGCATTGAGCTCCTGTTCGTTTGGGCCGCAGGTCAGAGGCAGCTGCAGTGGGAGGAGACGGGCAGCACCAAGCGGCGCCGACAGGGGGCGGTCACCGACTTCAGGGCTGGCAAGGGCGCGCCGCGTAAGAAGTTTAGAGGCAACGCCAGGCGCAGGAAGTAGCGCAGTGCTATGAGAGCTGGCACGAGTACGCCCAACACGTAGAAAATTGTGTTGCCTTTTGTATTCCGGGCAGATATTCAAGATCGCTTCAGATACACATGGGTGCATGCGTCATCATGCATGTCACAGGAGGCTCTTACACACCCAATCGTTACACATCTGACTTGGAAAATACATACGCAAACGGTTCTGAGAAAGTGTTAGCTACCAGACAACAATCTGTCGCCGGTCCTTGTCGCCATACAGGGCTCCGCCCTCGAAAAGAATAAGAATACGCACCTTCCGTCCGCGATGCCTCTATTCTGTAGTGAGCAGTTTCAGCCGTATCATGGTGATCTGGCCCCGGTGGGTTTGCGGGTTCGTTCAGCAGGCCGACTTGCAGAGGTGCACACACGTTCGGTCTGTGTTTGCCGGACGCTGTGCGCCCTTGTGACACTATCCACGCATCGCTCCGGCACACGTTTGTAACAGTTGTATTTAAATATCCCAAACCAAGCCAAGCCGGACCAAGTTCAAAATTATGTAAGGGTTTACAACATTAGGTAAATCAAAACAAGTAAAACATAGGCTTTGTTATGCGGTGGTGCTGCATGCGTTTATTTTACGTTGGAAACACGGAGTAATAACTGACAACTGTGTTAACCAGTTCACGTATTATCCCGCATCTCCGTGGTGGAACTCACAATTCCCGCGAACATTTTCTAATTTCCAAGTCCTGCCTGTATCTGAACCTCCCGCGACTTTTTGTTTTGGGGCTGCGGTGTCAGGCTGTGTCAACTTCTTTGCGCCTACGCCTACACCAGCCAAACACCAGACGGTCGGGCAGGCGACGGCCGGGCTCGGGCTGGCACTGACGAGCCGGCGAGCGCCGCCTCGCCCCGGCCGGCCAGTAGTGCTGCTGATGACAGGCTCAGGCCGATGCCCTGACGACGGACCGGTCGTCGGCGCTGGACGGAATGACGCTATGTCCGTCCGCGCGTGAAGAGATTGGTGCGGCCAGCGTGCGGCGGAAGTGAGGAGGCAAAGCTGCGTGTCTGGGAAACCAGTGGTACGCGGTTCGATTCCCCGCGGTGCCCGCCCCTCCTGCCAGCGTGAGAGGCAGACGACGGCATGCAGCTTCAGCAGCTGAAGGCGTTGTTAAGCCCCAGCAATGTTTCGTACAGGAGTAGAGGTCGTAATGTATGACTAGCTCTGATCGGTCTTGGCTATGTCTCACGACTCCAGTTGGGTCCGGTCGTACAAATCGTTTCTGAGAAGATTTCTGCATTTTTGCTGAGGGAAGCTTATCCAAGACTGAGCACTGACCTCCAAAATCTTCAAATATGGCGAACAACCAGGTAATGCGCAATTATCTGACGTATTCATATACACACAATGGTCAATATCTTGGACAACCTTGGAATTACAATACTTAGGCGTTACGTCCGCGTTGATGCGCCGTGAAAGTCGTGTAAGCATAGAACTTTCAAGACCTGACCTGACGTGACCTGGGACTTAAATAGCACGTGCCGTTGAGGCATGTTGGTCATTTTGGTGAATGACAGTTTCCTGGGAGGTTACCAGTAGCCGCCAACCATTGTGGTGTGAGAGTTTCGTGCACTGACGTAACGTAAGCCAAGAATGTTGCCTTCGTAACGCAGGTGTTGTTGCCTGCCACTGTTGCCACTGCGCAACGTAGGTGTTGTTGCCTGCCACTGTTGCCACTGCGTAACGTAGGTGTCGTTGCCTGCGACTGTTGCCACTGCGTAACGTAGGTGTCGTTGCCTGCCACTGTTGCCACTGCGTAAGCGTAGGTGTTGTTGCCTGCCACTTTTGCCACTGCGTGACGTAGCTGTCGTTGCCTGCCACTGTGTCCACTGCGTAACGTAGGTGTTGCCTTCACCTCGACTGGCAAAAATCAGAGGTCTCCACAACCCTTATCGGCATCCCTTCCGCCGGTACCTGACTATGACATCAGGTGAGAAAGGTCACGTTGGCTGTAGTAAGGGCTAACGTCCAACTAAGCTGAGCTTGATCGCGAGCGTGGGCATGGATGGGAGCGTTCCTCCCGGAAAGGCGAGGAAGAGGGCCATGTTACGCGGGACGGGAAAGTTCCTGCAGTTTCAGACCTGCCGTTCGCAAGAGATTCTGTGCCATGTTGAGTGATGGGAAGGGTTGGAACGGGAGACGCGTGGTGGCGGTGCCGTGTATTTGCGCTCGTTCCAAACGCACTAGTCAGGAGGTTCATCTTGGCCTATAAAACCCTTGCCTACGTGCCTAAGCGCCTGCAGCCTCCATCACTCTAAGCGCCAGCATGTGGGAGCAAACTACGCTGTCTTGGCGGCCATCTCGCAGGCGAAGTGCACGTTGGTGGTGCAGTCAGCGTTCACCCACTCGCCGCAGCGGCTCTGCAACGGGCTCGCCTGTGACACGCAATCCAGTCCGTCATCCGCCTTGGGGTAGCCGGCCAGCCAGAACTCGAAGTTGACGCGGGTGTCATCGTCCCAGACCCAGTCGCCGACGTTCTGCCTCTGGTTCAGGCCCAGCCAGGCGTTGCGGCTGTTGGTGACGTTGTCGAAGATGAAGGCGTTCTCGTAGAGCGAATGCACGCTGGCCAAGGCACCTTTGATTGTGGGGTCTTCCGGATGAACAAACTGTTCGCACGTACGTTTGGCCGAGACCCAGTTGGATTCATAGTCGGACTCGTAGTAGCAGGTGCCGATGACGACCCCGGCGCCGACGGTCGGGAGCAGAGTCCATCCCGGCGGGCAGGTGGGAGCATCCGCGGTCGCCAGCGGCAGCGCTGTGCACAGACACGGACGTCAGCCAGGCCGCTCCTTCCACAGCTGCAAGTGCGTAGTGGTACCAGATGAGTGTGGGGATGGGGAGGGCTGGGCAGGGAGAAATGTCGAAACCTCCAAAATACACGGACAGGCGGGTTTCTCCCTGGACTTGACACTTTCTTCCCAAAGTTGAGCGAGGGACCTGGAGCCCAATGTGGGGGGGGGGGGGGAGGGAGGAGGAGGGCAGCTAGAGTCCCTCAAAGCCAATAGGAAGATTCCGCCCCTATCAACTGGCACATGCGTGAACTTAATGACGCATGTCAGAGGCCTGAAGCACGGAAGGCATCGTTCGGGGGATGACGACGTCGGAGGAACTGGACCCTTGCGCTAGGATCGCTTCATTTGTGGCAGCTGTGTGTTGCCTTCCGTTTATTAGAAATGCTTTGCGATGCTTTATCAACCAGATGAATCAGAGTATTGGCTAATACAGGCTTTATCCGCCGTGGGTCCACGACTGACCCTGCTGTTGGTGTGCGCCGGGTCAAAGGAACGTGGTATGAGTCAAAACACTGCGGAACGTGTTAACAGTATGTACTGAGCAGCTCACGTTTGTGCGGCTGCATGCAAAGTCGAGGCTACGTGCCATTTTATGGCATTATTGCGCATATGGGTGCTTATCCGTGTCAACGCTCGTTTGAGCTTCTACGTAGCCAAACTATGGTGGGACGAAATGCGAGATCAGCTCCCAGGGAACTGGAAGACGATGATTTAACCAGCCGACGTACCCATGTCTCAACAAGCTTAGAGTAACCGGCTGCAGCTGTTACGACTGATGACATCCCGCCTTATAAGGGAGGTTCTGGCAAGAGTGCGTTCTTAGACCACAGACGCACTCACTACGCAAAATAGCACAACATTGACCGACAAAGGAGACGGCCGCTGGAGCTAGTGTCGGCCATTGAACACCAACCGAGACAGGCAAGAAGAGACGCCACCCAGACCATCTTGCGGCAGACGCCTGTGGGGTCGTCGAGGCTTCTCTCTGGACTGAGACAGAAGTGTGCCGGAACTAGAAGTTTCACTTCCCT